TGTAGCATGAGGAACTAAGTTCAGATCCCCAGCACCCATCTAGAAAGTTGGGCGCTGTGGCATGTGTCTGTAACTCAGTGCTGGGGAGCAGAGATAGATAGATCCCTGGGGCTTGTTGGTCAAGTCAGCATAGGACACATACAAACAGAGACACAGACACACAGACGCAGACACACACACAGAGTCAGATTATAAGATTACATTGTAGACCTCTGGTTTAATATATACCTGGGTTGGAAAATGAAAAAAAAATGAAAGAAATACTTTTGAACACGTGTGTGTTAGTTTGAATAGGAATGGCCCCCATGGGCATAGGTATTTGAATGCTTGGTCGTTAGGGAGTGATGTTACTTGACAGGGATTAGGAGGTGTGGCCTTGCTGGAGGTAATGTGTCATGGGGGTGGGCTTTGGGGTTTCAGAAGCCCAAGCCAGGTCCAGTGGCTGGCTCTCTCTTCCTTCTGCCTTCAGATCTGGATGTAGCCTCTCCGCTCCTTCTCCAGTACAATGTCTGCCTTCACACTACCATGCTCCCCACTATGATGACAATGGACTAAACCTCTGAACCTGTAAACCAGCTCCAATTAAATGCTTTTTTTTTTTTTAAATAAAAGTAGCCATGTCATGGTGTCTCTTCACAACAACAGGACACTGACTAAGACACCATGGTAGCTTTTTAGTTAGCTAGACCATACTGACATCCAAAGACTCTCGAAACTTCATCTTTAACCACTTTCACTTCCTCTACCAATGCTGTGCTGTGGCTCCCTGCTGGCCCCTTTCCTGAAAAGACATCAGGCTTCAAAACGTTTCTGACTGAATCCTCTTCTTGTGGACAATGACAACCGTGCCCTTCCCAGAACCAGGCAGCCAGGAGGCACATGGCTCTGCAGCCTTCTCTCCCGTTTCCCTTTAGACAGGGACTCACAATGTAGCCCTGACTAGCCTGGAACTCATAGCGCTCCGCCTGCCGCTGCCTCCTGAGTGTTAGGATCAGGGTGGTGTCACCACACCTGACTCCTTTGCTGCATATGTACCCAGCCCTCCCCTACGAGCCCAGGACACAATCAGCTGCTGAGTCCCCCTGAGTCCCAGAATCTTGCCGACGACACGGGAGCACACAAGGAGACTACTCTGCCAGCCCTCAACCTCAACCCTTCAACTGCTGCCTCCTTCCTGTCTGTTTGCTTCTTAGGGTGACTGACCACAAACCGAGGGGCCTGAAACAGAAGCAATTTATTCTTTCACAGTTCTGGATCTAGAAGTTCCAAACCGAGATGTCAGCTAGTGGGACCCTGAGGAAGGCTCTTTCTTATTCAGTGCCTTCCTAGGGGTCAGGGGCCTCAGGCCATCCTCCATGTTCTTGGTTTTAGATGCTTTGATCTAGTGTCTTTTAAAAAGAAAAAGCAATAAATGTACATCTACTTTTAATGGAGATGAAAAGGCGCTACATGTTCGCCATGGGATGTTAAATATCTACCTTGATCTTCACATGTCTCCTCTCCGTTCTGTGTCCGTATGGTTTTTTCCCAACATAATGTTTTTATTGATTATTTGGGAGTTGTAATTTTGTTTTTGCAAAGTCAAATTTTTATTTCCTTCAATTTTCCATACCATTTCCAAACTTTCATTACAATAAGAATTCACTAAATATATAATATATTCTAGAAGAATTTTACTTGGCACATACAAGAAGAGAGGAGTTTCCTTTTTTTACTTCAATTATCTAATATCAGTGAATAGATTCTCAGTGGGCATTTACCTTGTGCTTTATCTATGTCGTTAGATTTTTTTCTTGTTTTCTACTGTTATTGAAGGACAAGAAGCAACTTGAATTCTCGTGAGATGCAGCTTCGCATCTAAGCAGGAGAGAGTCCTCCTCGTTATGGAACATCCATAGATCCTCTGGGAGAACACAGAAGAGCTGTGTCATCAGAGAGAAGGCTACGGTGACTCTAGTCCCCTGGGAAACTGTTATTTTTTAAATATTTAACATAATTCCTTTATTGAATCCTTGGGAGTTTTACAACATGCTTGCCTCCCAGTCCCTCCATATCCTCCTCTCCCCTCTGTAGCAGCCCCCCTCAACAAAAGTAAAAAAAAAAAATCAAACCAAACGAACCAAAACCAAAGAAATAAAAACAAAAAAACAACAGAAACCTCTTTGCTGCTCCATCTTTTACACCTCTCAGTGCTCTGGTGGCACTGGGAGCCTCGGGGTGTCACACAGTAGACCCTTTGGTCCAATCACTGGGAGCCTCGGGGTGTCACACAGTAGACCCTTTGGTCCAATCACTGGGAGCCTCGGGGCGTCACACAGTAGACCCTTTGGTCCAATCAGCTTTACTAGCAAATGTTGCAGTGAGCCAATGGTCTGGTTCAAGGCCTCTGGCTTCTGGGACACCCTCATTCTGGATCCTCACCGTAGCGCCCCTCTGATAGCCTGCTGCCATGGAGAGCCTGCGGTCACTGTTCCACAGGACCAGTCCCTTCATCAGCTCCAGCAGGTCCTAGATGGGCTAGATGTTAGGGTGGGCCAACTCCAGGCCTGGCTATGGGCCTAGGTGGTAGCTGAGCTGGTCAGTCCAGGCACCGGGACCACACCCCTTAGGGGAGGGGTGGAGTCAGCTTCCCTATGCCCATGCCACCAGGGTCAGCTCTCCCCTGTCTGTGGTGAGGGGTGGGGCCGTTTCTTCCAAGTGTGATGGAGCATTTCCCCTATGAGGGCCAGGGCGAAGGGCTGGCCTCCTGAGGTGACACAGGCCAAGATGTGCACACAGACCCCAGCTGCAGCAGGACCATGGATCTAGACATGATCTTCTGCAGCAGCCTGGCGCCAGGTAGCAAAAAGGCCTCCCAGGTCAGCCTACTCCTCACCGTCTTCCCTTCTTCTGTTCCTCCTCTTTCCACAGCACGTGACCTGCTTGCTCTGCTTCTCTTTCTCTCCTGTTTCTCGGCCACAAGCCTGCTCATCGTCATGGGACCCACCTGGCAGTGGATGTCTTCCTGCCAGCCCGGGTCTTGAGGACCCAGGCTGGCCTTTTCAATTATTTGGGAGTTTTACATAAGGCACCCAGTCTTCTCAGGTCAACCCCGCCTCCCTCACGATCTCCCCCAAAGACAAGGAGAGGAAAATAAAAAAATACCAAGTCCAATTTGTGCGTCCATGTACTCACCAGAGCATGGTCAAATTCCTAGTAGCTAATCCCTTAAAGAAAACTGAGTCCTTCTCCACCCCACCGCCCTGCCCCGCACCCCACTGCACCGCACCACACCCCCGCCAGAAGTCATCAGCTGTACAGAACTACACTTCAGAATCCCTAGCAGAATTATTATTATTTTATTTATTATTATTAATATTTTATTTATTATTATTTATTTATTATTAGTGTTCTGCCTGCATGTATGCCTGCAGGCCAGAAGAGGGCACCAGATCTCATTACTGATGGTTGTGAGCCACCATGTTGTGGTTTCTGGGAATTGAACTCAGGATTTTTGGAAGAGCAGGCAGTGCTCTTAACCACTGAGTCATCTCTCCAGTCCCCTAAATACTTATTCTTATACATAGAGGTAAGTGTAGCTCTTATACCTCATCAAGGAAACTTATCTTTGCAACCCACAGAGACCATTACAGAAAACAACTACTCAAGATGCAGAAAACAATTTACTGCAGAGTTTGCAGTCTTAATCAATATATCTGTAGTACAACTCTTTCACCTACATCTCAGGGAGCATTACTGAAGACAGAATGAAAGGATTTTAAGAGCGAGGATGTCAGGAAGCCTGCAGTGATGCTATGTCTCTTAGAAAGGAGAGGGAAGATCCACAAAGAACCTCATTAATAGGATTTCTATACAGAAAAAACTGCTAATATGAAAGGGGGAAACTTCACAGGAGCTCACGACTAAACAAGGAACTACAGGCGTTAAAGAATATTGATAGTGGGAGACATAATCTTCCTCAAGAATGATTCCCTAATTGGCTAGCCAGTACAAACTGGCCAGTCTTGAAACCATACACGTACAAACAACACGAAATAGATTAACCAAGTTGTCTTTATCATATACATATCCATGCATATATATGTATATATTCACATACACAAACATATTATATATAATATACATATATGAAATAAAGAAAATAGATCATGAATTTGAGAGAGGAGAGTTATAGGAGAGATTGGAGGGAGTAAAGGGAAAATGATAAATGATATTATTATATTTTAGTTTCAGAAACTAAGAATAGTTCAAACAGAAAAAAAAAGATTTCCTCTTCTTAGATATGTCTAAGTTTGTAACAAAATGACATGAGTCTACCAGCACACTCATAAGTTAAACTTCTCAGATTGACTAAGAAAGAATTGCTGTGCACATTTTGTACCCTTGTCTCCAGAAAGGATAATCTTAGATTTTCAAAGCAAGTATAAGCTGTGGACAGGAAGTGAACTGAGAAATTGCTCCTCACGCTGATTTATCTAGAAGATTTGATTTCTCTTCTCTCACTTAAGTGAGGGGAACAGGAAAGATAACTGTAAAGTCACTCACCATGCCTGCTGCTTACTGCACTTTAAAGAGAAGGTAATGCGGCAGGAAATCACAGTTACAGATTTGTTTAAAGATTAAATGTGGACCAAAACATTTGCAGCAATAGCTTTCATTAGTATGCCTTAGTTAACCTGTGCTGAGGCAAAAGGCCACAGGCCTTTATACNCCTGCATTATGTCCACAGGCCAGAAGAGGGCACCAGATCTCATTACAGATGGTTGTGAGCCACCATGTGGTTGCTGGGAATTGAACTCAGGACCTCGGGAAGAACAGCCAGTGCTCTTAACCTCTGAGCCACCTCTCCAGCCCCCTAGCAGAATTTTTAAGCGTTCTTCTCAATGGCTTCCTGTTGTCTGAGTCTTTTGTCCTTCCCGGTTCCTGCAGTCATTAAATCCCAAAGAAGTCACACAGAGGTCTACATTAGTTATAAACTGATTGGCCTAGTAGCTCAGACTTCTTATTAACTCTTATATTAGCCCATTATTCATGGCTATGTTAGTCACGTGTCTGTGGCTGGGTCACGGCTGCAGAATGGGACTTCCTTCTTCCCAGAATTCTCCTGTTCTCATTGCCCAGCCTATACTTCCTGCCTGGCTACTGGCCAATCAGCGTTTTATTAAAATACAATTGACAGGGTACACGCCATTGTCCCACGGCAGCTTTCCATGTAGAGTATTTCTTTTGAGGGAGGTTGGGGTGGAGTCGGGGAGAGAAGTTGTCCCAGAAGCCTTGGATGTCTCTTAGTCTCAGCTCTGAGTCTGCAGTCAGCAGCACCATTGCAAAAGAAGCTTCCTTGCCCTTTGCAGTCAGCACCAGCATGGGCCATGGCCATCCACAAGTGCCTCGGCTACAACGTAGGCCTTGACATTTACATAGCCTTCAGTGGTAACACAGACCATGGGCACCCACACGGCCTCTGACTGCAGCATGGATCACGGGCACCATCATGGCCCTCGGTGCCAGCACAGGTCATGGAGATCAGCATGGCTTCCTGTGGGAGCCTAGGGCAAGCACATCTGTGTGTTTTTATAAGGAGAGCAGTCACCTTAATCCAGTATTAATCAGAGACTCACTAAACACACCTGCAAATGCCTTATTTCCAAAGGAGGTCATGTCTTGGGGTTCTAAGTGGATATGAGCTTTTGGGGACACTCTGCATGCCAGCATAGTATTTCTCTGCTGTGGCTGTTGGAGATTGTCTGCCTGGAAGGGTCTGGAATCGAAGAGACAAGGCATGTCTGTGGGAGGTTATTTTGATTAGGTTAATTGAGGGGCGGATACTCGCCCTAAATGTGGGATCCTGGGCTGTGTAAAAAAGCAAAAAGCAAATTAATTCATTTGCTCTCTGCTTCTGAACTGTGGGCACAGGGTGGCCAGCTGCCTCCCATTCCTCTGTCGTGCCTTCTCTACCACGATGAAGACTGTGCCCCCTAGACAAGCCATAATAAACCATTCCTTCCCGGGCTGTGGAGATGGTTCAGTAGACAAAGTGTTTACCATGCAAAAGTGAGGGTCAAGTTTGAACCCTCAGAATCCATGTCCATTTGGGTGCAACAGTACATATCTATAATCCAGTAACCCTATGGCAAGACTGGAGGTGGGCCAGCTTGCTGGTGTTTGCCTGGTAAACCACAGGAAAGGAGATTCTGTCTCAAGCGAAGTAGAAGGCAAGAACCAGCACCCACACTATGGCATGCGTGTGCCAGCTTGCTCTCTCTCTCTCTCTCTCTCTCTCTCTCTCTCTCTCTCTCTCTCTCTCTAAGAAACCAAAATGTTCCCCTCCTTAAATAGCTTTCCTCAGATATTTTTGTCAAAGCATCAAGACAAGTAAGCAATCGCAATCTCACTCCTACGCTTTCTTCCCTCTTGGGGACAACCCCCTCTTCACTTCAAGCTGTCACCAGTGATGCTGTTCACCGAAAGCAGCAGCAGCAGCAGCGGAGGCAGTGACCCAGGGAGACTGAAGAACGTTTCTTTGTTACTAAGGCACTGCCTCTCTCAAGGCCGTGGTGGTCCACTTCAAACATCCAGCGGCCCCGAGGGAAATAGGCGCCCTCAGCAGGGCCCAGTGGAATGCAATGTGGCCCAGAACCAACTGACTTTACAGTCTTCACACAAACTGATATTAATAGAATGTTGGGGATGTATGAGGCCAGAAGCTCTGCCCTCTTTCTACTACAAATCCAGCATAGAAGATAACAGTAAATGCCAAGTAAGATAGGAGCCTTAAGAGAAAAAAAAAAAAAAAAAAAAAAAAAAAAAAAAAAAAAAAAAAAAAAAAAAAAAAAAAAAAAAAAAAAAAAAAAAAACCCAAGACAAAACAGAATTGGGATTGAAGAGAGGGGAAGGAGGAACTGTATCCCACTGAAGGGCCTGGATTGCTTCCTGAAGAAAGTGGCTACTGCATGGGGGAATAGAAGGAGATTGAGAACCACAGAAAAAGTTCTCACTAAGTAGCCCCAAGCAAGTTTCAAACTCGAGATCTCCCCAGTTCTGCCTCCAGAATGCTGATATTACAGGTACCCTCCCCACAACTCAGTTTAACTGCTGAGAGGTGACATCAGCTAGAAAGAAATGGGGTCACAGCAGGGCTACAGGGTAAGCAAGCAGTCATGTAGGCTAAGGGGACACACAGAGAAACTCGAGGGAGCAAGAGGCCACAAGGGTTGTGGGTAGGCTGGCTTTGTGACTAGAGAAAGTTGAGGCTGGCTACAAACAGCAGCCCCTGAGTCAGATCCCTGAAGCTTCAGCACTCAGTTTTCTCCCGAAGTAGGGAGTCTATTCCTGAGACTGAGGAGGTGGGTCAACAAAGCTCAGATCAAGCGTTAGCCTGCGCAAGCATCTCTGATTTAAAGCTGTGGTTGGCAACAGATTTTTGTTGTGGCCCTCATCCTCGTGGGAGTGTAGTTTCCATTAGCCAATGACGGAGGCAGCAGGCAACAGGAACCACTATGTCCACCTAGGGAAAGAAGCTGCAGAAAGAGCAACGGGAGTCGAAGAACGGGAGGTGAAGGTGGGCTCGCCAACTGTGCCGTGAAGATTGATAGGAAAATCCGCGGTCAGCCGAGGGCTGGCAGAGGCCTACACAGGCTCGTATTTCAAACGCTTGGTTCCCAGCTAATGGTACTGGGGAAAGGGGACCGGAAGCAGCTCGTCCAGTGGTACCTGTTGTCTCCTTGTTTCTTCTCGGACTTGATATTTGCTTAGATATAAAATCACATATGAACACGTAGGTTTCGCTTCATGTGTAGTTTATGGGACCATAGTTTTACAGTTCATATCCATCCCTTTACCTCCTATAACCCTCTTGTGCACCTACAAGTCTCCTTTCTCATTCTCTGGGCTACTGATTATTGATCACAGTATTAGCCGCTTTTCTGGTGCTGTGATAAAATGCCCCAACCGAAGCAAACTTACAGAAGAAAGAGCTTGTTTGGGCTTACAGTTCCCGAGGGCAGAGTACATCATGGTGGAGGCAGGCAGCAAGCAGCTGGAGAAAACGGAGCCGAGAGCTCACAGTCTTTACTATAAGCCTGAAGCAGAGAAAACAGACTGGAAGAAGAGAAGCTTTCGTTCTCAAATCCTCCCTCCAGAAACACGCTGTCTCCACCTCCACCGCACCTCCTGAACTTCCCCAAGCAGTGCCACTAACTGGGAACCAAGGGTTCAAATGCTAGAGACTGAGGATATCTATCTATCTATCTATCTATCTATCTATCTATCTATCTATCTATCATCTATCTATCCACCTACCTATCTATCATCTATCTATCTACCTACCTACCTACCTACCTATCATCTTTCTATCTACCTATCATCTATCTGTCTGTCTATCTATCTATCTATCTATCTATCTATCTATCTATCTACAGATCATCTATCTATCTACATATCATCTATCTATCTATCTATCTACCTATCTATCTACCTACCTATCTATCATCTATCTACCTACCTACCTACCTATCATCTACCTACCTACCTACCTACCTATCTACCTACCTATCCCATCTCTTTCATCTTTTTCCTCCTTTTCTCATTAAGAGAATTGATTTATATGGCTCACAGTTTTGAAGACTCACAGCCCAAGACTGGCTAGACCCAGATGACTATTCTCTGATGAGGGCCTTCTGTCCATGTCATCACGGAGCAGACAGAAACAGCAGACTGGAGAAGTCGCATAGCAAGAGAAGCTTTAGAGCAAGAAAGCACCAAGCCCCCATCTTCACAATGGCTCAGATGGAAGCTCATTCTTTCTTTTGAGAACTACAATAGCCACCCAGTGTGCCAATCACCTACCAGGTCCCATCTCTCTGTACCAGGTTTTCTCTTTTGAGCCACCAACCAGCTCCCAAATCATGACATGGAGACGTCTTATTCGTCATAAATACTACCTACCTTAGGCTTATTCGTCATGAATACTACCTACCTTAGGCTTATTTGTCATGAATACTACCTACCTTAGGCTTATTCGTCATAAATACTACCTACCTTAGGCTTATTCGTCATAAATACTACCTACCTTAGGCTTATTCGTCATAAATACTACCTACCTTAGGCTTATTCGTCATAAATACTACCTACCTTAGGCTTATTCGTCATAAATACTACCTACCTTAGGCTTATTCGTCATAAATACTACCTACCTTAGGCTTATTCGTCATAAATACTACCTACCTTAGGCTTATTCGTCATAAATACTACCTACCTTAGGCTTATTCGTCATAAATACTACCTACCTTAGGCTTGTTTCTGGCTAGGTTTTTTTTTTTTTTTAACTCAATCTGTTTCTCTTTACCTTTTTCCTCAGGGATTTTTTTCTTTTCTTTCCTTCCCTTCTGTATACCTTACTTTCACTGCTTCCTCCAGTGTCTGTTTGTCTGGCAGCTGCCTGGTTTCTGGCCCTGGGCATGTCCCACTTTCTCTTCTCTCGTGTTCTTTTCCTCTCTCATTCTTTCCTCCTCCTTCTCTCATTCCTCTCCTGAGCCTAGATTCCCCCCCCCCCCTTCTATTTATTCTCTCTGCCTGCCAGCCCTTCTCCCTCCTGCCTAGCTATTGGGCATCCAGCTTTTTATTAAACCAATCAGGTATCTTAGGCAGGCAAGACAAAACAGATGCAATGCATCTTTACATAATTAAACATACATCTTGGGCTGGAGAGATGGCTCAGTGGTTAAGAGCATTGCTTACTCTTCCAAAGGTCCTGAGTTCAATTCCCAGCAACCACATGGTGGCTCACAACCATCTGTTATGAGGTCTGGTGCCCTCTTCTGGCCTGAAGACACACACACAGACAGAATATTGTATGCATAATAAATAAATATATTTTAAAAAATACACCTTTACATCATTAAACAAATGCAGCATAATTAAAAGCAATACACCTTTACCCAGTTAAAGTAGTATTCTTTAACATAAACAAATGAAACACATTTTTGTCCAGCTAAAATAATATTCAACAATACTTCTTTTCAATATTCTTTTTTCTAAAAGTGTTTTTTAATCAATTTTTTATTCTATATATTTTGATCATGGTCCCCCCTCGCACAAACTCATCCCAGATCTTCATCATCCACCCAACTTCACACCCCTTCTCCCCTTTCTTTAGAAAACAAACAGGGCTGGAGAGATTGCTGCTCTTACAGAGGACCTGGGGTTCAATTTCCAGTACTCACGTGGTAGCTCTCATCTGGCTGTAACTCCAGTTTTAGGGGAATCTGATGTCCTCTTTGGCCTTCTTGGGCACCGTATTCACATGGTGTGTGCAGACATGTATGCAGGCAAAACATTCACGTACATAAAAATAAAAAAAATTATAAATGGGAAAACAAACTTTGTAGTGAAAGGAGGAGCAGTGGGCTGTGTTGCCACCACCCAGCTAACTTATACCGGAAATAATCACATGGAAATCTGTATTAATTAAATTGCTGCCTGGCCCATTAGCTCTAGCCTCTTTTTGGCTAATTCTTACATCTTGATTCGACCCATTTCTAATAATTCTGTGTAGACCCATGAGGTCATGGCTTATCGGGAAAGATTCAGCATGTCTGACCTGGCAGCTTCATGGCGGTGGCTCTCTGCCGGCCTCCTTTCTCCCAGCATTCTGTTCTGTCTACTCCGCCTATCTAAGCTGCTGTCCTATCAAAAGGCCAAGGCAGTCTCTTTATTCAACCAATGAAAGCAACACATAGAAAGAAGAACCTCCTACACCAAAACTTCAAACCAGAATTAAAAAAAAAAACAACTGCAAGAAACACACACACACACACACATGCACACATTCTCCCTGCCCCCCAAAGCCATAAAAACACAATGAGTGGTCATTTCTTATTCACACCACTACAGATACTTACAACTTGTCAGGTTCTAAGGACCTGATCAGCACTGGGTCTTTGCATAGTCCTGACAACCCAGTTAGATAGACCTCTCTTCCCACTTCACAGAGAGATGAGCACTCTTGCAGTGACCACACAACTAGTGAGCACCGTGCTTCCTCAGGCCTGCACCAGCGTCCATACTGTGAACATTACCCTACCCAGGCTTCTTTCCCCCAGCAAGGTCAGTGTGGCTCTTAGTTCTCAGCACATTGGTCCTATTCTCCCACCAACTACCTATCACAAAATTGTGTGTGTGAGTGTGTGTGTATGTATGTGTGTGCGTGTGTATATGTGTGTATGTGTGTGCGTGTGTATATGTGTGTATGTGTGTGCGTGAGTGTGTGTGTTGGGGAAGGTGTCTAGGGGGAACAGGGTGATTAAAGCAGAGTGACAGACTGAAGCTCTTGCTAGAGTCCATCTAGCCTGACTGAGGACAGGGTTAGGCTGTGGTGTTTGCATGTCTCTCCTGCTGGAAGCATGTTCTGATCAAAAGCGTTCCCATCTGCAGCTGTCTGTAGGCAGCTGTCTGCCAAACACAGAGGCCATTGGTACAGGTCCTCCCCACATTACTCCCCATGGTGAGCCTGGCCGGAATACTGTCTGAGAGGTGCAATGCTGTGTGTGCAATACACTTGGAAGATCAATGAAGTCTGATGTCAAAAGATGAGTAAATGGGACCCGAGAGAGATGACTCAGCAGTTAAGAGCACTGGCTGTTCTCGCAGAGGACCAAGGCTTGGTTCCCAGCACCCACATGGCAGCGCATAACCTCTAACTCCAACTCCAGGGAATCCGATACCCTCTTCTGGCCTTCTTGGACACTAAGCACACACATGGCACACACACATATATGCAGGCAAAACACTCATACGTGTAAAATAAAAAAAAGGAAAAAAATTTTGGTAACTTTGACAAAGAACATTTTTATGACTGGGATTGTAGCTCAGTGCTACAGCAGTAGCCCAATAAGGTTCTGTGTTCAAGTCTCAGCATCACATACACACACACACAGACTCACACATATACAGATATGCACACACACACGTACACACACAGACACATACACAGATACATACACAGACACACATGCTGGCACAAATACATACACACACATATACACATACACATATATAGATACATAGATATACACAGAGACACATACACAGGCACACACAGCACATATGGACACACACAGATATATACACACAGACACAAACATCACTACAGACATATACACTCAGACATGTATACATACAGACACATAGACACACTCACACACACAGACATACACTCAGACACACATATATAGACTCAGACATACACGTACACATACAGACATACAGACACACACACATACAGACACATAGATACTCTCACACACATACAGACACACACACTCAGACACACATATATAGACTCAGACACACATGCACACATACAGACACACACACACATAGACACACACACAGAGACACATACACTCAGACACACATATATAGACTCAGACACACACACAGACACACAGATACCGACATACACACAAACAGACACATACAGAGACAGATATTCTCAGACACACACACACACATAGACACAGACACTCAGATACACACACACATAAGCACAGACACACTCACACACACACATATAGATACACATACAGACAAAGACACACAGACACAGACACACAGATACAGATACACACACATGTAGAAACACACATATACAGAGACACAGACACACAGGGAAACACATTTCTGTGAAGGTTTAATGTGACAATTTAGGTAAAGCCTGAATGGTTTTTATTAAAAATGAGTGGACTTGGCGAGTGAGCACAGGCTGGAATGGAGGCTTTTGTTTTAGGGGTCTCTTGTTTGTCTACAGTGGTCTTTCCAAGTGACTCTTGGAAGGGTTAAGATTGGGATGATCTAGAAGGGATTCATAATTTTATTAGGAATAAAGTTTGAAAATAAATATGGGGGTTGAGTGTCTACACCATTAGCACAGCGCAAGCTCAGTAAGCCTGAAAGCTGGGTTCAGCTCAGCACCGCTCACCTGCAGAAGCTGATCTGTCTGTGGGGGCTAGTAGAAAGCCCTGAAGTACTTTCAGCAGTCACGGTTCATTTCCTGATTCTGCCTGCCAGGCTCCCCTAAGCCTCAAAAGAACATCAGAAACCTTGTGGTTCCCCCAGCTGTTTTCTCGGCTTCTTGCCTTCTTGGTTTTGAATCTAAAAGGAAAACTTACTTCAATAACATTTTAATCACACTTAAAATTTTTGTCTAACAGTAGTGCTAGGAATGATAAACTCTACATCGTGGTCCACTTGCCAAACTCCTCATAAGGACTTGTTTGGTTTTAAATAGGTGCAGAGAAGGGCTGAGACATGGCGTCGTCTCATACAGAGCTCGCTCCTGGGGACTCCTGGGGGAAGGCGGACTGTTGCTTCTGGCCGCCATCAGTGTTGCTTTATGCAGGAGAAAGGAGTGAGTAGCAAAGCTTTTCAGGCCAAAAAGTTACAGAGAAACACAAATATTTGACAATCAGCCGGGCGGTGGTGGCGCACACCTTTAATCCCAGCACTCGGGAGTCAGAGGCAGATGTATCTTTGTGAGTTTGAGGCCAGCCTGGTCTACAAGAGCTAGCTCCAGGACAGGCACCAAAAGCTACAGAAAAACCTTGTCTTGGAAAAAAAAAAAAAGACATTTGACAATCTTAGTGAAAACTCAAAACAACACAGTTGGGAGGCATTCTAAATTCACTCATTCATTCTCTGAGGCACCTATTAGTCCACTCGCCAGGTGTGCACTGAGCAGGGAGGATGAGTTGTTGGCCTTGAACAGCTGCTCGCACGCGGCCAAGCGGGTCGGCGCTGGTGAAAGGGTCTTGTAAATGGCACAAGGCCACAAGCTGTTGTTTGCCCCCCCCCCCCCCCACTTAATGCAGGGCAGCATGGAGCAAACTGAACGCGTGAGGAAGGCGAGGGGGTAAGGAGCTGTGAGACCTGGAGGCTGGAAACTGCAGCGAGGGGGGGGATCGGTGAGACTGCAAAACACCAACCGGGAATCCTTGATTCATCTAGAGAACGTCATGTTCTAAATTCTTGCTTTTTCTCCCTAAGCACGTGAGCTTGGATGATCTACCCCAACCATCTGGCTAAAGGGCAGCCAATAGTGCTGTTGTTGCCCGTGGTGTGGGATCCACTTACTCTCAAGTTGAAGAAAGAAGCTGGAGTTGAAGCAATTGGTTATTACTCAATTGTAAATCCCCCCGTATCTCAAAGAAGAAGCCAGATAAAGCTTGTTGAACAAACACTTTGTTTTCTGTGTAGGGATGTGGTCACCTCGAATGGGATTCACTGGTTAAATTATAACCTTACGCTTGTGCTGACGTGAGCCACTCTTGCCCTGCTGACCTTCAGGCAGCTACAGTGACGATCTTGTGTCCAATTTGGAAATGAATCAGGTTGTCAAGTTTTGAAGGTTGTTTGGAGAGGCCTTTAGAAAACGTGCCAGGCTAACTCCGTCACGTTTTCCAAAATCAAGAAGTGGCTATTAGTGAATGTCTTAGTTAGGGTTTCTATTGCTGGGAGGAAGCACCATGACCAAAAGCAAAAGTCTCCTGACCTCCACAGTCCAGCCATGGCGTGCACACACAGTAATAGGTAGAAGATAGCCTACTAAGAGCCGGGCGATGGTGGCGCACGCCTTTAATCCCTGCACTCAGGAGACAGAGGCAGGCAGATCTCTGTGAGTTCGAGGCCAGCCTGGTCTACAAGAGCTAGTTCCAGGACAGGAACCAAAAACTACAGAGAAACCCTGTCTCGAAANAAGTTGTCTCCTGACCTCCACAGTCCAGCCATGGCATGCACACACAGTAATAGGTAGAAGAAAAAGCCTACTAAGTAGTTGGGGATTTAGCTCAGAAGTAGAGCTATTTAATAAGTATAAGGCCTTGAGTTCGGTCTCCACGAAATGCCAAGTTCATCCTCAAAGGCAGTTAGGGCAGGAACCTGGAGGCAGGAGCTGATACAGAGGCCGTGGAGGGGCGTTGCTTACTGGCTTGATTCTCATGGCTTCCTTTGTCCATTTTATAGCCCCCAGGATTGCTAGCCAAGGGTATCCCCACCTCTAATGGACTGGGGATCCCATCAATCACAGATTAAGAAAATGCCTACATGTTTGCCTGTCTCCTGTCCAATCTTAGGAAGGCATTTTCTTGGTTCCTTCCTCACAGATGACTCCAGCTTGCATCAAGTTGACATAAAAGCTAACCAGGACAATGAATATATAAATAATAATTTTCAAAGGCTGTTTGACTATCAAATCCCCAATCATTTCCAATTTGAGTCAGGTCAGAGAAGAAATCTTCAACTGAAATGTGGCCAGAAACCCCACTGCAAAGAAACTCAACAGTTGGCTCCAGTTTCCAAGAGTGAATCAGGAAGAAGTCAAATTCAGCCTTGCAAATTTTACCCCTGGGATCAGTAAAGTGGCTCAGTGAGCAAAGGTGCTTGCAGCCAAGCCCCGGTGACTTGAGTTTGAGCCCTGCAACTCATGTGGTAGAAAGAGAGAACTTACTCCCCAAAGTTGTCTCCTGACCTCCACAGTCCAGCCATGGCATGCACACACAGTAATAGGTAGAAGAAAAAGCCTACTAAGTAGTTGGGGATTTAGCTCAGAAGTAGAGCTATTTAGTAATTTAGTAAGTATAAGGCCTTGGGTTCCGTCTCCACGAAATGCCAGCACTGTTTTATGACTCTAATTGTTAATCAAAACTGTCAGGTGGTGCCAGGCAGTGGCAGCACACCCCTTTAATCCCAGCACTCGGGAGGCAGAGGCAGGCAGATCTCTGTGAGTTTGAGACCAGCCTGATCTACAGAGCAAGTTCCAGGACAGACCCCAAAGCTACAGAGAAACCCTGTCTCAAAAAACCAACCAACCAACCAACCAACCAAACAAACAAACAAAAACTAAAAACAAAACAAAAAAAACCTTCCCAAACCCCAAAAAAACTGTCAGGTGAAAAGATATATAGAAATTAATAGCAGTTTTCCCACAGAGAGATTTCTTTGAGGACAAAATAATTATACGTAGGTTATGGATCTATTTTGCAGTGATGTATTTCTATATATCTTATATAACATTAATAAATAAAAGTTCACTATTGGAGAATTGGAAGGCATAAAATAAACAAAAGGGTGACAACACTCAGCCACAGGCCCATCCTTACAAAGGTGAGAGATATTAAAGTAGGACCACAGCTAAGGGAGAGAATGCTAGCTCAGCACCTGTAGGACCCTAGGTCCAATTCCTAATGTGTGTCCACACACACACACACACACACACACACATGCACACACACACACACACGTATGCACATGCGTGTGCAGGAAGGGAGAATGGGAGAGAAGGAAGAGGAATTATACTGTTTATAAAAGAAAAAGTAGAAACTGGGCTCAAATTTTCTTGTAGTTGTTTGTTTTACTCTTTTGGCTTTTTTGTAGGTGCGGGGAGCGGCCATCCAGCCCCCACATAAATATATACACACTCATAAATACCTGGCCTTAGCTTGGCTTGTTTCTAGTCGACTATCCTTTTTCCTGCCTTGCTATTGACCATTCAGCTCTTTATCAGGCCATCAGGTGTTATAGACAGGCCAAGTAACACAGCTTCACAGAGCTAAACAAATGCAACATAAAAGAACGCAACACATCTTTGCATCGTTGAAACAAATGTTCAGCAGCATAAGCAAATGTAACATATCTTAAAATAACATTCTTCAACATTTTCTGCTCTCATTTTTCTGTCCTGGAAGAAATGGCATCTGCAGAGAAGTGGAGCTGAAGTTGACAGACTCACAAGCTGGGCAAACAAAGGACTGTGGGCTGAGTGGAAGGCTCCCGGAGTTGGATGCGAGGCACATACTTTTACTCCCTGCACTCAGGAGGCAGAGGAAGGAGAATCTGTCAGAGATTCAGGCTGGGCTGAGGTACAAAGTGAATTCCAGGCCAGTCAGTGCTGTACAGGGAGAGCCTGTCTAAAAAAAAACAAAACAAAACAAAACAAAAATCAAGGAAAGGAAGGTTTAGTGCATTGGGATGCCGCAAAGCCTGGGGACCTGGGTTCTATCTCCAACACTCAGACAGTAAAAGGGGAGAACTGACTCCTGAACATTGTCCTATGTGTGCAGTGGCATGTGTGTGTCCCTCCCCCCAAGAAATAAATAAATAAATGAACAACAAAGGGAAAATGAGGAGGTAATCCTACTCCACCTCCTATGGGCCAAAACTATTTTGATGGTGGATGAGGGGAAAGTTTCAGGGTCTTGAAGAGTTCGTGGAGTATTTGGAGGCGGCTGATTTTCAGGCTTTGTAAAGTCAAGAGGCCAAAACAGGTATAATTTGGCTGTGGCATGAGCCAGAACTGGATGCAGGTGCTGGCTGTGGCTTTCTCGTGTGAATTGCTGGATGCCTTCACGGTTCTCGCCTGTGGTGCAGATGGCCAGGAAACCACATCCTGCGAAGTTGGCCGCTATGATAAAGTAGCAGTTACTTCCTCTGTGTTGCTCACCCTCCACAAGCTCCCAACCACCGTGCTGGCAGGCTGCGTCCCTGTAGTTCCCGCGCTCTGAAGGGCTCAGGTGAAATGAACTTCGTGTGAGATGCCTTCAGAGGGTGTGGGCATTCGGAATCTTCTGCAACAGGTTTCTGTTTTGTAAAAAATCAAAATCAAAAATTTCATTACTTTGTGATATTTGTTCTAAAGGAATAACCTTCAGTGTCTAAGATTCAGACCTAAGCAAATCTGAGGGCCTGCATCCATGGTGGCCCTGACTGTAATAAACAAGATCACATGAAAATAACTTCTACATGCCTAGCACTGGCTGGCTCCGTTAGACAAGTTCTACATAGATAAGTCTATTAGTATGATTATTGCTAACCACTGCAAAACATGCTGCCTAAGAACATCAACATGGGAGACCTTTGTGAGCTATGAGCCTAATGCAATGCAGGTTTTTTTTTTTTTTTTTTTTTTTTTTGAGACAGGGTTTCTCTGTGGTTTTGGAGCCTGTCCTGGAACTATCTCTTGTAGACCAGGCTGGTCTCGAGATCCGCCTGCCTCTGCCTCCCGAGTGCTGGGATTAAAGGTGTGCGTCACCACCACCTTTGAACAGTGAATAGGAAAAAAATATCTTGGCCACGCGCATGGATACCAACAGTGGGGATCTGAACAAAATCAGCACTTTCTGGTTTTGTTTTTCAGTTTTCTTCATTCAACATCTTTGAATTCTGAATATTGAACAACTTAAGTACTGCTTTTTTTCTGTTTGTTTGTTTTGGGGGGTGAAGAAGGTGTGTTTCATCACACAACTGTAGGTCACAATGCACCATTGAGGGAGGTCAGGCAGGAACTCAAGGGAGGAACCTGGAGGCAGGAATCAATGAGGGTCACTGCTTGCTGGCTTATGCTCTGGCTGGCTCACAGATTTCACGTTTAGCTAATTTTCTTATCCAGCCCAAGACCACCTGTCTGGGAACAGCACTACCCACAGTGGGCCAGGCCGTCCTGTATTTACTAACAGTGGAGACCTTCCCTCACAGACATGTCCTGATAAAGATGATCATGCAACTGAGACACCTCTCAGGTGATTCTAGACTGTGCCAAGTTGACAGGTCTAGATTCTTCTCTCACATAATGTACCCTGATGATTAAAGTCTCCCCTCTGTCTGCTCCTCCCAGTTCCTCTCCAACTCCTCTTCCATCTGGATCCACTCCTTTCAGTCTCTCTCTAGACAGGAATGGAAGCTGTATCTGAGCTGAACAAGACAAACAGAAGAAAAAGAGCCCAAGAGAAGGCACAAGAGTCAGAGACCCACTCACTCGCACCCTGGAATCCCATGAAAACATTAAACTGGAAGCCATAATACATATGCAGAGGACCTGGTGCAGACCTGTGCATACATGTGCATGCTGCCTCGGTCTCTAAAAGTTCGTATGTGCATCAGTCATACCGATTTAGAGGACCTTGCTCTCTTGGTGTCCTCCATCCCCTCTGGCTCTTACACTCTTTCTGCCTCTTCTTCCACTGGGTTCCCTGACCCCTGCCTGAGTGGAGGGATTTGATGGAGACATCAAACTTAGCGTTGAGTGTTTCAATGTCTCTACTCTCTGCATGTTGTCTGGCTGTGGGTCTCTCTCTGTGTTCCCATCTGCTGCAGGAGGGAGCCTCTCTGATGGCTGAGCAAGACACTGATCTATGAGGATATCAGAATGTCGTCAGGAATTATCTTGTCACTA